TCTCTTAACGATCCTCCTACCTCAGCCTCCCAAATGCTGGGATTACAGAATGTGCCACCACATCCTGCTATTTTCTCTAATTTCTTTTTTTCCTGTATTTTTAGGGAAGGGTCTACAGGGTGTTCAGGGTCTCACTACTGGATCAGACTTGTAGTGATTCTCCTGTTTACAGCATCCCAAGTGCTGGGATTACAGGTGCGTGCCACCACACCCAGTCTCAATCGCCATCTCAGCGTAACCCAGTGGCAGGGCCGGCATGACAGGCCCTGGGGATTGAACCCCTGGCACCTGTGCCTGCTTGCAGGCACTTTAATCCGCTGAGCTATTTGGCCAGCCCTTCTAATTTTTCACCTATAAAACGAGAAGTATTACTCCATCTAGTTTGAAGTAAACTTTATGTAAATCATCTAGCATAATGCTTAATATATGATAATGACAACAGCAATAGGCCATTATAAGTGGGTAAGAGTTTTAAAGTTGAAGCAAGGGCTGGGTGTGTAGCCCATGTTAAGAAGACCATGAGTTCAAGGCCAACCTGAACTTCATAGTGAGTTCAAGGCCAGCCTGCACTGCACAGTAAGACCCTGTCTCAATAAAAATATAGAAGTTTAAGCAACGAGTCCACAGAAGTCACAATTTGGAGTTCATCCATGTTTGTGGTGCTTAAAGGACTTTAGTAATTAGTTTTTATTTATTATTTTGGTACTTAGTCTTATAGAAGTGGAATTTAAGGTCAGAAATACTAAATGATATAAGATCAAAAAGTAAGTGCTGCCAGAGTTGATGGCACAGGCCTGTAATGTTAGACTCACTAGGCTGTGGCAGGAGGACTGCCATGAGTTTGAGGCCAGCCTAGACTGCAGTAAGTTCAGGACCAGCCTGAATTATATAGCAAGACCCTGTCTCAAATAAAACACAAAGCCAAAAGAATGAATGCTGGTGCTGGCTTCTAAATCCAGGACTTACATGCATCCACCACATCCTTTTTTTTTTTTTTTTTTTTACATCCTTTTTCTACTACTATAATACCTACTTTCCCCTCACTCTAGCTCTTTGCTCCCCACATAAGCCTTTTACCTTTCATTTCTATCTCAGCTGTTTTCTTTCTTTCCTCTCCCTGTTACATCCAGGATATACAAGAATAATGATTAATTTTACACAGCAAAAATACGAACACTGTTAGATTTGTAGTAAAGTATGAAGGGAAATGAACTGTGGGCAACTGAGGCTCTCAGTTCCCAATTAGTCCCCTCACCTGGGGGTAGGGATGGTTAGAGTTGGTTCTCAAGTTTCAGTGGTGATGGAATCAGGGTTGTGGAGGAAGAGCTGTCAGAGAAAGCTGTTTAATTTAGGTTTCCAGAGAGGCCAGAAGTTGTTTCTGGGAGGATAGTTGATCTGAGTCATAGGATCTTGGCTCCATCTCCTGGTATATCAGACATCCTGAAATACAAAGAGAAAGACAAGACTGTGGAGAAGATTACCTGTGTTTGTGTATGTGGTCAGGAGAAAATACTAAGAATTTTTAAATAGCTTGAGAAAGGGTGACAATGGCAGGAGGGCTTTGCTTGTGGCCTTGCACTAAAAAGGGGTAGGGGAATGGTGTGTTGTAGCAGGTGGATTATAGATGCTCAATAAGTTAATAACTACTGATGCTCTACAGGACAAGGGCACAATTTATTTCATCATTCTATCTTGTCCTTTCATTAGGCTTATATATGGTGAAGTAGGCCAGCCTGAGATGACAGCTTGCTATACTCACCCTTTAGACACTCACTGACGGTGTGTGCATTGCACTGAGCTTCGTGTGAGGTACTGCTGACCGATCAGCCACATCATAACCTGTGTGACCTGTGTTGCAGTAGAAGGAAGGAGTGTCAAGTTACTCCATTCCATCCCTTATAACAAGAAGCACAAGCCAGCCAAGGCCAATTCACTAAGAACTGGTTCTGCTGCAGCTTCTGCTGTCTCAGCCGTGTGTGTGTGTGTGTGTGTGTGTGTGTGTGTGTGTGTGTGTTTGAGACACGGGTCTCACTATGTAGTTCAAGCTGGCTCTTCGAACCCACTATTTAGTATAGGCTGGCCTCAAATTTGTGGCAGTTCTCCTGCTTCAGCCTCCTGAGTCCTTCAATTACAGGTATAAGCCACAACACCTGACTCAGCCTTGGAAATTTTAACTCAGTAATCTCTGCCTGGCAAATATCTCTGAAACTTTTTTGGCCCACCCCACAAGCCACTGCTGCTTGCCAGAGTATGACTGAACACCTACTATGTGTTGGGTCCTATGCTTTAACTAATTCCTATACAACTTTGTCAAGTAGTATTACCTTCTTCAAACATGGAAAATGATTATCTTTAGAGAAGTCTTAATTCTCTCAATCTAAAACCTCACGTATGCTGTCTCGTTGGCCAGATTAGTTACAATGTACCATTCTTGTAGCACCATGTCCTTTTCCTTTTTTTTTTTTTTTGCAGAACCTTGAATTGAACTCAGGCCTTTGCACTTGCCAGGGAAGCACTTATTCTACTGAGCCATCTCCCCAGCCCCTCCTTGGCTCTTAACACTTGTGGTCGAGGCCTGCCAGTTAGCTCAGTTGTTTAGGTGCCTGCTCCTGCAAACAGTCAGGCACAGGATACCTTGATTTGATCCCCAGCTCCATATGCCTTACCAGACCAGCCCTTAAGGCAGCCTGAGCCCGCCCCCCCCCCCAAAAAAAATCTAATACTTGTGGTTAAAAGGATCTTTAAATAAGGTAATTGACTCCAATAAAAGCCATATTGTCTAACTTCTCTACCAGACTAAAGTTTAAAAGGTATGAGGGAGGTAACACTGAAAGATTTCCACAGAAGTATAGGAAAAGGGGAACCCTAAGGGTATCCTACACCTTTAGGCAAAGTTTAGGATATTCTCAGCCTTACTGCACTTTTAGAACAGATACCCCAATTTGCCTAAGGCCTTGGCTTTTTTTTTTAAAGACAGGGTCTTGGGGCCAAGGAAATAGCTCAGTGGAATAAGTGCTTGCCTAGCAAGCACAAGGTCCTAAGTTTGATCCCTGGTATCACCAAAAATTACAAATAAATAAAAAATAAAGACAGGGTCTAGGTAGTGCAGGCTAGCTTTAAATTCATTTATGTAGCCCAGGATAGCCTCAGATTCACAGCTATACTCCTGCATCAGCCTCCTTGACTGATTACAGGTGTATACCATGCCTAGCTGATGAAACTTTTTTATAGCTTTAAATTACATGCAAGAATACTCTCCACTGAAGGAAGATTACATTTTCCATTTTCAGGATGAGCACATATCTTAAAATCTACTTTAGCTCTTAGGCACAACTGCCCCTTACTGCACAAAAAAGGAAAAGATACTGGAGAAATGAGGTAAAATGTTTTTGACATTGTCACTTAATGCCTTTTTTCCCTGGTGCTGTGATGGAACCCAGGGCCTTGTACACAGCATGCAGGTGCTCTCCCACTGAGCTACACTCAGTCTACCTAATTCTTTTGAAGCCTAAAGAATTATCCATGTAGCTAAATGAAGAGGAGGTGGTAATAGTTATTAGGCCTATAAAAAACAAATTTCTTAGTAATATAATTGGAAGGTTTGGGATGTGGCCAAGCTTTTAATCCTGCCTTAAGTTGCCACAATACCAGAAAGTGGAGCCATATCTGTGTAATAAAGAGGGAAAAACCTTATGCCAGGAACATGGGGATAAACTGAACTTTGGCTTCAAAAACAAAGCCTTGGGCCCACCTGAAGTCTCCATTAAGATTTCCCTTCTCCAAGCAATCTCTCCAGTCTGTAAAAGAGAAATAAGACACCCCACCTACTAACCTCAATTTGGCAGGTCAAGGCCTTGGGGAAAATACATAAATTTAAACATAAGATCCAGTGCAGAGGCATAATTTAGGGTCAGTGCTAAAAGGAAAATGGACAAAGTACTCTCAAGGAAAGTCTTAGATCTATAGGAGAAAATATCTAACAAGGTCCACTTCTCAATAACCAAGCTTTCAAATTAAACCTGTAAGCGCTTGCCTGGCAAACACGGGGGCCTGAATTCAATCCCCGGTACCAAGAAAAAAAAAAAACAAAACAAAACACAAAACAAAAAAAAACCTGTACTAACTTCTGCTCTTCTCAATGACTGGGTACCTAAAGAGATACCTCATATAGATGCAAAGGCTCCAAACCTATAGAGGAGGAAACCAAAGAACTGGATGTTGTCAATCTTACTATCCATTCTGACTGAAATACCCCAAGAACAATGTGGAAGGGCCAGCAAGATAGCTCAGTGGACTAAGCGCCTGTTTTGGCAAGCGCAGGGACCAGGGTTTGATCTCCGTCCGCAGGCCTTGCTGCCCCTGCCCCTGGGGCGCACCGTACCCGACCCAGTTCCCAGCACTGGGGAGGCTGAAAACAGGACCACTAAGAGTCTGAGCTGCCTAGTGAGACCCTGCACCAAATACATTAAAAAAAAAAAAAAAAAAACAACGTGGAAAACTTCAAGTCTATTCTTTTCTACAAATTACTTGGCAAAGGGCTTGAGCATTTTTCAAAAATAAAGGGCTACAACAGGGATAAGGAAGTAAATTTGATAGAAAATGTGCTAAGAACCTGAATAGGTCCAGGCCACACTGTTTTAGACAACAGCCTTTTGAATCAAGCACAAAAAATTGCTATGTGGCCCACAGCTGGCACAGCAGAGCTCCTCAGCCCCTCCACTCAGATCCCACATGTATAACCTCTACCCTGACTCTAAGCGAGAATGCAGGGAAAGACTAGAAATTAGACAACAAAAAATGGAGGAGTGGGGGACATAGTTTAGTGCAAAAGCACTGGGCTTATGCTCTAGCACAATTAAAACGGTAACTATGATGAATCTAAGCAGACTTCATCCACCTTGTACTCCTTCCCCCAATTTGTAACTAAGCATCTCTCTCATCCCTCAGCATTGAAAGCAACAAATATTTTTACATCTCACATGCTTTTTTCCTTGAAGAATGTTTCTCTTCTACACTGCAGAACAAGATGTCTAGCCAAGTGGGTTTCTCTTTAACGGTTGCCCCCTAGCAGCCTGGCCTATGTGGCCTCAGTGCATTATTGCTTAACAATTGTAAACAGCATGATCAGACTTGTTTGGTTACTAATCATCAAGTATGAGAAACACCCCAAAACTCCAAGACCCAGCCTGACTATAGAAGAAAAAAATGTTAACAAGGCCCACTTCTCAGTAACCATGCTCTGAGAACATCCCAATACTCCAAGACCCAGCCTTAGTATGTCCACACAGGAGGTAACTCATCTCTGCTTAAACAATCTGGGGAGCAGTTATGCACATTCAGTATCACACCCAGAAAGGCTAATGAGGGGCTAGATGCTGTTGCTTCCTTGGTGGGAGAGCTAGGAGTCAGGTGGACAAGAGGGATAAGGCAGGCAGCATGAGCTAGATTCCAGGAGCAGCCAGTACACTGGTACACCCTACCTGCTGGGTGTGTCTCTAGGCTGCTATTTCCAAAGTGTTTTATGACACATATACTATATACATGTACCTTTACGTAATCAAGGATACTATTTAGAGCCTTCTACCCTGCCAATGACCCAGGCCTGGACCAGATGCATTGATGATCCCTCTTTACCCCTTAAAGCCAACATTCCATTTACTGAGCCTCATTAGATTATGAAAAAGAGGTGGGATGAGGTGAGAGAGAAGGGTTAAGTACAGCATCCACACAACAGATTACCTACAAGCAACACAAAGGGTGTGGGGAAAGAATTGGTTTACCACACTTTCTTCCTAATTCTGTGCTTGCTTTAAAAAAAAAAAAAAAAGCTTCTTAGCTCAAAATTGTCCATCTTTTAGAAGATACAAATAATTACCTATACAGTATGCTCCACTTCATCACCAACCACTCCCTGAACATCTTGGTCTCACCCCACCCTTCACACAATTATACAAAGGATCAAACAGAAAATCCACAAGGCCATGGAGATCCCAGAGGCTCAGACAGCCTCTGTGATACTAAGCATGGAAGTCAGTGGCCAGCAGGACAAGAGCAACATGAGAGGGTAAGAGTCAACCACACAACAAAGAAAACCATACTTTATTAAACTGGAAAACAAAATACTGGGGACAGAGTTTTTTCAAAAAAAATAAAGGAATGGCTGGAAGAGAGGATAGTGCAAGTGGTCACGAGGAAGGGATAAGATAGGTGGCCAGGGGCCATCTCTATGTGCCACACTCAGTCCCTTCCCCATACACACTTAAACCAAAAGCAATACAACTGCATCTTCAGAGACAGATCCATTCTTTCCTCTGTATTTTGTAGTTGGTTTCACCTTCAGCCCTGGTCAGTCATGTCGGATCTTTGCTGTAGAAAATTAAGGTTTTTCAACCACAGGTCTCCTTACAAAGCAGCAGTTTCAGCTCCTGGAGAAGTTCCCTCCTATTTGCACTCACCACAGAAGCCAAGGGCCCTTGGTCCAAGCCCCATTCTCAAAGAAAAATATCAAACCTTTAGAACTAGTTATTTTTATTAAATGATATTAACACACATTTCAAAAGGCTTTCATTGTTGTTGCCTCTAAAGCACGTACTTGTTTTGTTTTCCACACCAAACACGTGAAAATACCAACCCAACATATCTAATTTTACTCTTAACAGGCACCCCCCCCCCACCAATTAAAAAATAGGAGGGAGAAGGAGAGAAGCAGTAATTTACAGCAGCTTAAAACAGTAACAGCTGAAGCTTAACTGCATGAACAGGTCACTTCAGGATAGTAAATACTCTGCAATTAGAAAGTTTAGCATATTCACATTATCTAGATAGGTTTGCTGTACCATGTTTTATTACAAAGTGTGTTCCTGGTACTGAAAAGGTAAAAATCCTACTCTCTGCTCGCCTTCCTCAAATCAAACCAAATTGTATTTACCTCAACACTCGGGATGAGAGAGGGAAGTGGAGAGGGCTCTCATCTAAGTTGGCTGAACAATGAACTCTTACAAAATATTCAAGGGCCCTATTTCTGATACCGTATAAACTTTAAATGATATTAGTGTGTTCACTAGAATTCTTTGTCTGTGATTTCACAGTGAGCACCAAAGACCTTAGCAACAACTCATATTCTTTTATATGAATCATGTCCTTGCTAAGATACACTACATTATGCTTTCTTTAAAAAATATCTTGTTTATTTTTTTCTTTTAAACTCAGGTTGCAATACAAGTCAGAGCATGGTCACAGAGTTTTAAATCACAGACACAGAAGGAATAAAACCTCTTTGTATCATGTTTATGAATACCAGAATTGCCTTCTCACTATATCACATATATACACTGTCATCTTCACTGCTATAGACAGATTTCTGTAAAATTATTTAACAGAAAATCTCATACAAGTCCTCACTTCCATCCTGAAACAAATGCACTGAGGGTTTTGTAGCAAAAACCAAACAAAATTATTCCACAAAACAAGTTCACTTTTGAACTGTACATCTTTCATATGTCAGGCATCATGTTTTTGGGGACAGTCACCCTGCCCCAATATGCAGGAAGCCAATTTGCTGACATTCCAACATTTCCAATAAAATCAAAAGGTCAGAGAGCCTTGTCAAGTAAATACTACATTTAGCTTAAACAAGAGCAGCAGAAATAATTCACATTCTTGTATTCTAGAATGAAAAAAACCCACTTCACTTTTGAAAAAAATAAAAATTTGACCTTTGAAGGTCAAATAGAACCCCCTGCCCTCCCCTTTATCTCTGCTTTTCACTTTCTTGGAACCTAGTACAGCTGTACTTATTTCCTTTGCTTTGCTCTACTCTGCGTCCTACCTCACACAGGTCAGTGTCAGGCATTTTTTTTTTTTTTTTTGGTGGCAACAGCTATAGGACAGAGGCTTGAGATGGTCAAAGAAACAAACAGCTGGCTTAAAGCCAGATAAGCCATTAGAAGACTAATGACTTGTCTCACCCTGACCACAGAACACTGGGTGAGCCCAGATAAATACACAGAATACACTACAGAAAACTCCCAAGCTAGGACGCACTTCTCTGAAAAGCAAGTTTATTTTGAGACAAAGAATGGGTTTTGTGACATTATCCAGACTCTCCCATCTTTAAAATTCCATTCCCATACTTCCCTAGTTCTCTATACTAAGCTGGGAGAAAATACATGAACTTGCTAGGATTTTTTACTCTCTAAGCTGGAGATTTATAATTTAGTGGGGTGAAAAGACTGAATTAAAAAAAAATGTAGTAAGCAGTTATTTGCTTTTCAGTGTCCCTAGACCCGAATATATAAACAAAGTTTAGTGTTTGTCTCTTCCCAAGTACTAGATGTAGAAATAAACAAGTCCAGGGAGAAGGAAAGCATTTCTCTCTCAAGTAAAATGACTAAGGGCAGAAACATTCTTTACTTCCTGTTGGGGATGAGGGTAAGGTTAGTCCCTTGAAATGTGACAGGCTGCTTGTTATCTGTGGAGTGGGGTCCATCTGGATTTACCAATGTCCTTCTTTCTCCCTAAATATATGAATAGCAATGCCCACCTGTTCTAAGATACATCTAAAGAGCTAGCTAGCTATACTATAAAAGACACTACTAAGTCTCTTTCGAAGTAACAATAGAGGTGCAATCAGGACCAAGGCAAGGGGAGAATGATGAAGACAAATATTTTCCTTCCTGTGTTAATCCTGCTGAGAATCACCAATAAACATTACACTAGCGAGGCACCATGGTAACATTAATGTCTATTTCTTTTATTAAAAGATACAGGGATAATGTCTTAGTTGAACGTTTGTATCCATGGTCAACTATAGTGACTTTCTAGCCAAAAGAGAAGTAAAAACTGAGGAAGAAAAAGAAAGACCAGGAAAAAAAAAGCAGGAAGCAAGAGCATGATACAAGATTTGTGGAAAACTTTCAAAACACATCCTATCTTCTTGTTTACAAAGGATAGTCAGATTATACCACCATCAACAGTTCCTTTTCTAGTTTTATCTATTATACTTGCTTATTTTCACCTTGGATTTATACTTAGCCTCTTCCCTTTCACTCCAAAAAAGAAAACTTTCTAGTAAGAATGAGGTTTGTAATGCCTCAAAGTTATTGTCAGATAGTACTTTGGAGGAAGAGGCTAATTTAAAAAAAAAAAAAAAAAATGTTAGAATAAGGAACTTTAACATGTCTTTAAAAAAAATCTCCAAAAACAAACCAACCTGACAGGCCCAAGGTTTGCTTCCCATCCTTTGGCTGTCAGCAGTCACCAAGCTTAAAAGGGAAGGACACAGGAACCCTTCCACTGACTAGTGGATAGGCAAGCCCCAAATAACACCCCAACATTGCACATGTTATCATCTGTACTGATGGAAGTTTTATTTCAAATGTAGTAAATAGTCTGCAATAGATGGGATAAAATATAGACTGGTTTTCCTCCCCAGGCTCCAAGCCCCCAGCCAAATGAAGTGGCTTTGGCTGTGGGCTTTTCTTCCCAGCAAATGCAATCAACTCTGGGAAAGTAGTGAATGCAGTGGGAGGACTTGATGGAATAATGAAATGTAGGCATGTATAACTTTTTCAATTTGGAAGGCAGGCTCTTATCATAATAAAAAGCGCGGGGGGGGGCCACAAACAAACAAAAAACAACAACAATCCAAACTCCTACTTTCAAGGTTCTCTAGACTGTTCCAAATGCTTTTCCCTTGGTTCCATCAGTACCTGGGAGGGAAAAATGGGCGTTTTGGTGCAAAGAACGGAGGGCCCCTAGCAAAAGGTGGCCTGGGTCTCTTTAAACTGTGGAATGGGTCTCTGCTGAGAAAAGGTTCCCTAGGCCGAAAGTCTGGCCTGGGACTCCGCAAAATCATACCACTCCGATTGATGGTGTCTCTGTGTGAGGGACCCAAGGGGGGGCCACTGCTGCTGTTGCCCCCCACACCTCCTCCACCATGGGCTGGACCCAGGTGCTCCAGAGGGTGGGAGGGTAGGCTCAGGCTTTCCCGCACACGGCTAAGGCCAGGGCCAGGGCCGTTGAGGTCCCGTTGAGGGGGGCCCCCATGGTCCCTGGGTCCCGTGAGCACGCCAAAATGCTCAGCTAGAGTCCCCTGAAGAAGGGAACTATGGTCCTTGGGAAATACTGCCACAGCCCCTGCCACTCCGTGCTCTGCTAGCGATGGGGTGGGGAAGGGTACAACCCCAGAGTGGTCAACAGGGGGTGGAGGAGGTGGTGGTGTAGTAAAGGGGACACCACTCCCACCACTATGTTCCCCAGGGGGTGGAGGAGGGGGTGGGGCAGGGAAAGGAACTCCGCTGTGCTCTCCAGGAGGAGGCGGTGGGGCAGCATGGGCCAGGGCTGCCTCCTTTGTGAAAGGGTTCGAAAGATCCACAGAGGGCAGGTGAGCAGGTGCATCTCTCGAGAAGATACCACCATGATCCTTAGGAGGGGCAGGTGGGGCAGAAGATGGCCCCACTGGCTCTCTCTGGAAGGGTGTCCCGTGTTCCAAGGGGGATGGGGGGAGATGGTGCTCAAATGTTGAGTTGAAACTGTTGGAACGAAAGCTGCCGACACTCTCCTGAAACTGGGGTGCCCGTTCTTTGTATGGTGTTTTAAAGCCAGTGAGTCCTCCGGTGCCCCCACCCCCAAGGGTTGCCAACTCAGAGGCACTTGAGGGACCATTGTCAAAAGAGCTGCCTGATGTGCTCAAATCAAACCAACCCACCCTTGAAGCCTCTCGCCCATGTCCTCTATTTCCCTTCCCAGGAACTCGGATGGACTCTACGGTCTGTATTGGCTCCCCTGACATCCTCCTATTGGCTGCGTTATGATAACCCAAAGTTTCTATAGGGGCCCCCTTTTCTTCGGTGCTATCAGGCAAGTCTAAGCAGGAGGAGGAGACGCGGGTTTCTATGCGGTAGTGCTCTTCTTGTTGCTGCTGATCAGAGGTGGGCAGGCTGGGCTGGGCGAGACTTGACAGACTGACACCATCACTTGAAGTGCCTTTGTTGGGGGTTTGGCCAAAATGCTTATCATCTGAGGACTTGCGAGAGGCGTTTTTAAGCATATTCTTAAACTCAATCGTCGATGTGGTGGAAATGGTGGAGGACAGGACTTTCTCCACGCCTGATGTGGGTGGGTGGCCCGTGGGAGCAGCAAGGGTATTCTGCGGAGAGAAAAGGGAACGATGTGGGACTGGGTGAGGAGAGTCTGGGTACTGCTGTGGCAAACTGAGATGCCCAGTGGTAGACTGAGACAAGCTATTGTGGTTGGAGTCAGGGGCAAAAAATGAATCATTCTTACTCGGTGATGGTGACCGTTCAGGCCCAGGTTCATTCCCTCTTATGCTGAAGGTACCAAATAGCCCAGGGGAAGATGAAAGACGGTCACAGTTCTCATTAGAGTCCAGGAGGGCCCTTACAGATGGAGGGAAAGCAGATTTTACCCCAAATTCTTGGGCCCTGTGGCTATAATTGGATAGGATTGGCTGGTACTCGGTGGCATCAGAAAGCTTGCTTGACTTCAGGATAGATTTGGCTGGTTTCTTCTCTAGGTTCATCATGGCAGAGGGTGGAGGCCCTGAATACTCAAAATCTCGATAATCCTCATCTTCTTGGAAGGAAGTGTCTGGATAGAACTTTTCCTGTGAAGAGTCCATCAGGGAAGATGGTCTCTCCATTCCATCAGAAGGCTGATTATAGGGAGATTCACTGCCCAGGCCAAAGGGTCGATATGTAGATACGGAATTGGAGAGCTCCCGGGGGTAGCTTTCATCTCTCCCAGGGGGTGGAGATCTTGTACTGCTGGGTGTTGAGGAACCGGGGCTAATGATCTTAGAAAGCAGGGACATAGTATCTACACTGCTGGATGTGGGCTTGTCCATCATCTCATCCTGGGTGGGAGTCCCACTCCGTTCATCACGTACGGGGGTTCCATCAATGTTGTCGATTGAGGTGCTAGTAGGGCCACGCTGGAAGTCTGAGGGGTGGCTCTCTGGTGGGGCACTGGATCCCAAACTGCTCAGGATTGGGATGTTTAAATTTAAGCCACTGAAACCAGGATTACCTTTTAAGAAGTTGTGGATCTTCATTTCCAGACTTGGGGAGGTGGACTCTGACTCCAGTTTTGGCTTGGAGCTCTCTGAAGATTGGCACATGGCAACTTCAGTAGGTGGGGCAGCAGGGCTAGTATTGTGGGTACCAGTAAACCCTAGAGAGTTGGACGGCAGTTTAAAAGTAGTGCTTGGAAGCCCTGGGCTTTGCCCTATTGATGCCTTGATGGCTGAAGTTGAAGAGACTTCAGAAGTTGATGAATTAGGAGAATAGTTGAAACTTTTGGGAATAAATGACTGGGTATTGGAGGGTGCATTTCTTCCCTTTATAGTAGAGACTGTGGTGTTAGCAGGGGAGGCTGAAGTGTTCTGGGATGTAGCTTCACTGGCTGGAGCTGGGTTCCCAGTAACACTCTGAAGTAAAGACGACAGACCTGTAGAAACAAAGATTAGAGGGGTTAGAAAGAACTCCCTACCATATGATAAACAATGTGGGCTTATTAGTTATTTGAATTCATTCTGGTGGGAACCAGATAGTCTTTAAAATACAAAGCCAAAGAGAATCCAGACCAAATAAGCCATGGCTAAATGTCACTGAAAACACTGGACTTATTTATCAATCAGAGAACAAATCACTGAAATGTTTCCAGTACAAGCTAGAAACGAGTCCAGCACAGCACAATACAAAGCAACAGGAAGGGAGAGATTTTAATGTCAGAATCAGTCAGTTTAAGTAAAGCAGGAAAAGAAAAGACTCACAGTAAATTTTAAAACAACAATGTAAGCCAGCATTTCTTAGCGTTTGATCTACGGAAATGCTTCTCTAAATGCAAATAGAAACCCTACCCTATCTACTTTCCAGCTTTCACAACTGACTCTAGAAAGTAAATGCACATTGTTATTCTCATCAAGGAGATGGGTATAAAAATTTCAGAAACTTACGTGAATAAGAAGCATTTGTCACTCCACTGGTACTATCATTGGGAAAACAATGCTTGCAACTATCAATTTAATTGTAGAAGGTAGCAATAATAAACATACACCACAAAGACAAAGGCAGACCAATAGGTACACTGATCCTTTCACAAAAAAAAAAAAAAAACCATAATCCTCTCTGCCCCCTTTTTTTTTTGTTTTTATTTTTCAGACAGGGTCTTGCTGTACAGCTCAGGGTGTCAAACTTGCAAACTTTCAGAAATCCTCCTTCCAGCCTCAACTTCCTAAGTGCTGGGATTACAGGCTTAGGCCAATAATTCTCATATTAGAGCTTGAAAAAAATCTAAAGGATTATTAATTGGGTAAAGCTGACACAAATGAGATCCAACGCTATTCACTAATGGACCAACCTCCTCATAAGGATAGAGAAAAAATTCTTTGGCGCAAAGGCTGAAGTTCACGAAGGGAAACTACTCTTGTAGAAAATGTTTTTAAAAATATCTGACAGAGATAACAGAAGATCATATCAATTCAGTCACATTTTGCAAAATTTATCCAGTTTTTGTTCATAAATGAACAATACAAATTTTATCTACCTGGGTGTGGTGGTGCATGCTTTGTGATCCTCCTGACTCGGCCTCCCAAGTAGCTAGGATTACAGGTGTGTACCATCACACCTGGCTCAGATCTCAAGAATTTTAAGGTTATATTACCCTTGTAATGCTTTTATTATTTTAATGCATTTTGTACTGGCCTCACTACGTAGCACTTGAACTCACAGTGATCCTCCTGTTTTCAGCCTCCCCAGCCTGGGATTACAGGCGGGCACCACCACACCCAGTCTTGGTGCCTGCTTAGTGTGCCCAGGGGCATGGCCGGTGCAGTACATGGTGCCGGGGATTGAACCCCAGTCCCTGTTGCACTTGCCTAACCAGGCGCTTAGTGTGTTGAGCTATCTCACCCACCCTGTAATGTTTTTATTTTATTTTATTTTATTTTATTTATTTATTTTTTTGCAGAACCGGGGGTTGAACTCAGGCCCTTGTGCTTGCCAGGGAAGCGCTTATTCCACTGAGCGATCCCCGCCCCCCCCAATGTTTTTAAACCATTTACTTTTTTTTTTTTTTTTTTTTTGCTCGAATGCCTTCAGGGCACTTTTGGCCAGCGGGAGAGGTGTGAGGTTCGAACTCCAGCAACCTGAGGCTGACAGCTTTGTGGAAGCAGCCACTTAAAGGCCTGAGCTAGGGCCAGGCCCCCTTAAACCATTTACTTTTAAATAAGGTTCCCTGGTATTTGTTTTGTCTTTGAGGCTTCAGGCTGGCCTTGAACTCAATATATGTAGTCTAGGCTGGCCTCAAATTTACAGCAATCCTTCCTCAGACTTTGCGTGCTGGGATTACTGGGGTGAGACACTATATCTAGTGTGAGGCTGCCTGGTTTTAATTTTTATCCAATCACCTAATATTGATTTCTACAAATGTCCAATATTTGAAAATTAAGTTCATTTATCTTTCTTAAAACAGCATAATTCATTCCAAAATTTCCTAGCTAAATAATGTTCCCCTCCTGTTTAATTCCTAGTAGTCATTATTTTCATCAAAGCTGGAGGTTCTCTAGCACAAGAATGTGATAAAATAATTTCATGTGTCATTTTTTTTTTTGAAGCTGTGTTGCCCAGGATGCCTCAAACCCACCAAGGAGGTTATATCCCAGCATGATTCTATTTTTAAATTTTGAGACAAAGTTTTACTAAGTTGCCTGGGCTGGACTTGAACTTGTGATCCTCTTGCCTCAGGTGGGGTTGTTACAGGTGTGCACCAGTGACTGGCTTTCTACTGCTTTGATATTTTATAATTCTCTAAATGCCAGGTTATAAAAATACAATAAAATGGAGACAAAGCTCTGAAAATAAGGAGGAGAAGAAATGTTGAAGGGAGGACATGAGAATGGGGAAAAAATGTTTTATCATATATAGGTACAAATTCTTTAGGATGAATGCGATCATTAATTATATCTAAAATGTACCAATAAAACCTGATTTGAAAATAAAATAAAAAGATATATCATGTATAGGTACAAATTCCCAATGTGCTCATTAGGTATATGTAAATTATACCAATAAACTTATTTTTAAAAATAAATGCCAGGTGATTTTTTTAATTTTTTGCAGAACCGGGGATTGAACTCAGGTCCTTGCGATTGCCAGGCAAGCGCTTATTCTACTAAGCTATCTCCCCAGCCCCCAAAAATATGATGTCGAATTAACTGTATTAATTTACAGTTAATTGCATACATTTCATGCCTTTGGCTTACTCAGAAATGGAATCCAGAATTAAGTGAGATAAACATTCACCATTTAAGTTACTCTGGCACATTTTCGTTTACCTTGCAGAGCAGGGGCTGACTGTGTCTGCGTTTTGGAAAGAGCAGACAGAATGCTCTCAGGGGTGATCTCCACCTTCGAGAGGATATTTGCCAGAGGGTTGTGGGGTGTGGTTGTGGCAGGTGCAGGTGTTTTCAGGGTGCTGGTAAGGTTGCTGGGACTGGTAGGAGTTCCTGGAGAGGGTCTTGATGCAGGACTGACCCCTGGTGGCAGAAAGATGAACTCAAAACAATGCAATTTCAAAAGCCCTCACACATGCTGGCTAAGTGCTCCACCAGAGCTACATCCCCAGTCCTTCATTCACTTTCTTCTATGACTGATTCACAAATGATCCCTATCATGGTACAAACAGATAAAGAAGTCTAAAAATTAGATTAAAATCTGCCTCCTGAGTTATTCTCATAAACATTCATTACTTTTTTTGCTATCATTTATTTTATTTTTATTTTTCCCCCATAATTTTACTGAGAAACAAATAGCAATGAGACAGTTTCAAACCACATTGGTAGGACAGTTTTAATAATTAACACACTGCATACATTCTTCCTAGTGGTTAATTGCTGTATAAGATGTGAACATGATATCCTATTTACAAACACTATTAGAAAAAATCCCTCTATTCATGTAACTATATATCTATCCTAACCATTTTGAATACACAGATACAAAATGGACATTCATCTGTATCCCCTTTGTTTAGTTCCATTACTTGAATATTATAGCTGTGTAAACTCAGTAAAATATTCTAAGAGTCCAGTAGTCCTTATGTATTGGGTCTTCTGCTTCACTGGCAATGTCAGAAATTGTTGACCTGAGTCGCCGACAGCTCAACATAACACCATGGCTTTACTTCTTATACTTCATTTTTATACTTTTCTGCTGGATGGTTAAGACCAAGATAAAGCAAGACCTATGCAACAAGAGTTGCAGCTTTTGGGTCTGTGAAATCCCCTCAGGATTTATCCTGAGATCCTGTACCTAGATTGTAGATCTTTTGTCAGTGTCAGCCATGTGAATGAGTCACGGCCATTGCTTGGCCAATGTGCTCTCTGTGAAAGCCTGAGAGAATGTTTTCTCTCCATGTGACTCTCCTTAGGCACATTCTACATCATTGATCAATTTCTTCTTTGGCCCCATAATCTCCTTGATCAGAAAATTTGGGACACTACTGAGTTACATGACGTTACAGTACAAGTTCTCATATGTCCCGAGTCTTAATTGAGCTTGGAAGGCTAGGACCAAAATGTTGGCTTTCCTTGTGGCCCTCCTTTTTCTCTTAATTTTGGTCTGCAAACTTAGGTTGTTAACCCTCCAGAAGAGAAGTTTATTATTATTACCATACAACCTAGGCTGTTAAGCTTAACCTCACTATCTGTCTGAATATCAAACATCTTAGACATAACATGGAATAGGTATTTTTCATCAAGTATCGATATACTGAACTTTAAGTCCCTACAGAAAATGATGAAAAAACATTTAAAAATTAGAATATATTTTAAAAATAGGCATAAAGAATTATATAATTCTTATGTTTACACATAAGTCCAAAAATCTAACCATATACAACCTTTCAGCATCCGTTTTTTTTGCCGAACCAGGGATTGAACTCAGGCCCTTGCACTTGCCAGGGATGTGCTTATTCCACTGAGCCATCTCCCGGCCCTACCATATACAACCTTGAAGCAGGACAGTCCCACAACATTCCTTTTCCTGTCTCCTGCCTTCATTCACCACCCCCTTCTTTTTGAACAATCATCTACCTGAGAGACAGCACAGCAGCAACTGGCATGTCATGACAAGCAGCCCATATTCAGAAGACCAGAATGACAGGCATTCCAAGCATGAACCTACTATTACAAATTGCCATCTTCAGTGCAGTTGCTTAGTTCACAGGTGTCAGTATATATAGTTAGGGTGATAATCTTTCCAATTAACTGCTCGATTAAAAAATGTTTTGGAGATTCTCAGGATCATTGCCTTGCCCATCTTCTACATATAACTGTATGGCTTGTCACTGTCATGTTTCCTAGCTCTTCTCCTTTCCCTCTCTCAATTAGTTCTCAAGTTCTTGCTTTCCTTTTACTTGTATTATACCTTTCTATATGTCATTCATTACTTTTGAGAGCCTCTGTAAGAACAGAACAGGCTACTTACTTTTTTTCTGCCAAATGGCATATGTACTTTAGAGCTCAACAGTGCTCAGGATACACTCTACCTACAGGACTCTGCTGTGACACACTGCCATGTGACTGCTAAGTGATTTGCTTTTGAAATGGATTGGATTTATTTTATTTTATTTATTTTTGCGGAACCGGGGATTGAACTCAGGTCCTTGCGCTTTCCAGGAAAGCACTTATTCCACTGAGCCATCTCCCCGGCCCCTATGGATCGGATTTAAAATGAAATTATAGAAGCAACCTCCTTTGTGCTTTTCCATGTGTTTTTTTAAACAATGAGCTGATTTTTGATCTAACAAAAAACTTTATGTAATGATAAAACAAACATTACATTTTAAAAAAATCACAAAAACTATAAAATAAGTGATAAGCAAATGAAAAAAAATCAACCACATCTTTAATTAAAGAATACATATCAAAACCAACCTTTGTGGTTTGGAGTAGTGCTGCATTGAATACAGGGCTATAGTTCCAGCCTTTGTTTTATTTTGAAATAAGGTCCTTCTAAGTTGTCCAGGCAGGGCTCTTTGTTTGGTGGTGGAACCCGGGATTGAACTCAGGCCCTTGTGCTTGCCAAGGAAGTGCTTATTCTACTGAGGCATCTCCCTGGCCCTAGGGCTCTAACTTGTCATTTTCTTACCTCAATTGCTCAGGATTCTGGGATTATGTAAACCACAGAGCCCGTCTATAAATTGCATGTGATACAGATTAAACAAAGCAAACAGTGGAGAGGGTAAAAAACACTGGGAACTTTCATATACAAGTACACAAAAAAGTACCTTCTTAGATATCAACTTAATTATGACATAAAAAGATGTTAAAACCTACATACCAACTGAGTCTTTGTTTTAGAATTGGTAATACACTGGGACTTGAACTTAGGACCTTGCATTTGCCAGCTAGGCACTGTGCCACTGAGCTATATCCCTGGATAGCACTCTCGCTCGCTCTGTCTCTGTCTCTGTCTCTGTCTCTGTCTCTCTCTCTCTCTCTCTCTCTCTCTCTCTCTCT